TTTCCAATGGAACCGTTGCTGACCATCTTCATGGTGAACGTGCCAAACCTGGTTCACTTCCTTGGCTCATTCGTTTGAAGATTGCCATAGAGACTGCAAGCGCATTGACTTACCTCCATGCTTCTGATATCATCCACCGTGATGTGAAAACCAACAACATTCTCCTTGATGAGAATTTTTCTGTTAACTTTGGAATTTCTCGTTTCTTTCCAAAACTTGTTACACATGTTTCCACTGCTCCTCAAGGGACTCCTGGTTATGTTGATCCAGAATATCATGAATGCTACCAGCTGACAGAGAAGAGTGATGTATTTAGCTTTGGGGTTGTCTTGATTGAGCTAATATCATCCAAGCCAGCTGTTGACATCACCAGGCACCGCCATGAGATAAACTTGTCTAACATGGCCATTAACAAGATTCAAAACCGAGCACTACACGAACTTGTAGATCCAACTCTTGGGTATGAATCAGATCATAAGGTGAAAACAATGATAACTGCAGTGGCAGAGGTGGCATTTCAGTGCCTGCAAGGTGGGAAGGACCTGAGACCACAATGGTAGAGGTGTTTAAGGCTTTAAAGGGTATAGAGAGTAGGGACTACAATAATTAAAGGGCAGAAGGGATGAACGTTGCGATAGATGAAGTTGGTGTGCTACAAATGCCACTTTCTTTTAGGTTAATTTCACTCCCACTAGATCTGGTATGCAAAAGGGGAAAACCAAATGCCCATAGGATATAATGAAGTACCTTGTTGATCTTGTCTTTGCACTAGCAAGATCAACCACTGACCGCCCTTTCGAAAGCGAAAAAACAATAGTTTTTGTACATGAATTTTTGCAGCAATCGCAATACAAAAAGAGACTGTTTTGTTTAGATGATAGTAGGGATTTGTTTCTATGTTCAAGAGCGGAAGAAGAAGAGATAACTTCATATTTATAGGGGCAAGATGTTTGTTGGGAATATACACTCGCTTTCAATTTATTAATTGAAAATATTTGAATTTTTATTAAATTTATTCGTTGGAAACTCTTTCAAAAGTCATTTGGTTTGATTTGAATTCTAACTCACGTGTTTCTTTGCATTTCAAATTTATCCACTCTTCTTTCAAAAACTTATTAAAATTTTATCTTTTATTTATGACGTAAATAGTTCGAACCATATAAATGTGGTTCGAACCAAAATTGTAACTTTTCGAATTCTAATTTTACATAAACGATTCAAATCCTATTTAGATGATTCGAACCAAAATCATATTTTCTCAAATGCATCCTATGCAATTGCTTCAAATCAACTTTTTTTTATTCAAACTCAAATCCTAGAACTATTTTGAAAATTCCTCAACATTCCCCCACAATTCTCAAAATAGAATAGCCTACCAATTGTTTGAAATCTTATATATGCATGAAGGTATCTTATGATTTGAACATTTCACTTAGTGAACATGTGTTGACAAATTGGTCAGAATTGCATGGTAGACTTATGTTTTGAACCAGCAATTCTAAGTGACTGATGGGCACATGTCATACGCAAGACTTTAAGCTTTCTAAAGAAAAAATTTAACATCCATCGACACAAAAATTGGCCATGCGTCTTGTGTCTTGTGTCCTGTATCCTTTTCATGAGTACTGTTAGAGCCAAGTCCCCAACTCCTAGAAGCAGCATCACTTTTACTAACATAGGTAAATCCCATCAAATGTGCCACCACATTAAGCATTTTAACAGAAATCTGTTATAGGACCTATTAAAAGTAAAACTCAACATCTTCTTTATTTCATATGGTTATCAAGTACTCTTCCACTTGGGATGATATTATTTATAAATTGAGTACTTGTAGTTACATTCATATGATGTACTTCACTCATTGAACTTAAGACTTAAAGTTTATATCAAGTGTTAAATCGAAATTCCATCATGTGTGACTTTTATTAATGGACTTGAGACCATCTCTATAAATGTTTTATATACTTTTTTCTCTTATTAATCCTTTTGTTAAAGGATTTGCTAAATTTTTACTAGATTTTACATAATCTATAGTGTTCACCCCATTGACAATTAATTGACTTACATAACTATATTTTAGACCAATATGTCTAGACTTTTCATTAATACTTGGTTATAAACTTTTGCTAATGTAGCTTCATTTTCACAATATATTGAGATCGAGGACATTGGTTTTGGCCATAAAGGAATTTTATATAGTAAATTTTTTAACCATTCCCTTTCTCTACAAGCAGAGTTTAAGGTAATAAAAATAAAACAAAAAATGGATAGTTAGTATAATTAGTATTATAGTACAACAATTAAAAAATGGTTAAAATCCCTTTTTGGTCCCTAAACTATTGTACGGACCCCTTATTTGGTCTCTGAACTAAAAAAATCCCTAATTTGGTCCCTACTGTTTACCATTTTTACCCTGATTTGGTCCTTCCGTTAAAAATTGTGTGACGTGGCCTGTTACTTAACGGTTACTAGATGACATGTCATATAGTAATCCACATGGAAGGTAATATAACCAAAAAGTGATGATGTGGAAAAAAAATAATATAAAAAAATATTATGAAAAATAAAACTTAAAATTTTTTTTCCTTTTTCTTTTTATCTTTTTTCTTCTCCTTCCCCTTTCCCTTTCTCTTTCTCCTTCCCCTTTCTCTTCCTCCTTCCCCTCGGAACCCAGCAGGCCTGGGTTCACCTGGGTTCATCGCCTGGACCTGGGTTCGTCGAACCCAGGGTTGGGTTCGACGAACCTGGTGCTGGGTTCGACGAACCCAGGACCTAGGCAATCTGGGTCCGTTGAACCCAGGCGATCTTGGTTCGGCCTGGGTTCAACGGACCCAGATCGCTTGGGTTC